AATAACACGCAAAGAGCGTGATTAGAGACCATCAAAAGAAATTTAAGTACAAATAATATTAAAAAGAAAAACAAGTTTATTACAGTCCAAAATTTGTTTTCAAAAAAAACCATTATTTTTTTAAAGAATCGTTTTCATCCATCTCTTTGTTCCGTCTTTCACCATCAAATGTGTGAGGTCATCGAGGTGACGTAAGATACGCTGAATAATTGCTACATTTTTTTTCGCGATATGCATTCCATCACAATAATTATTTGAATAGAATATATTTTAAGACTGTTTATGTCAAAAATTCAATAATTTTGCATTGAGTTTCAAATCAAATTGGTGCTTCGTTATTTCATCATTTATCATTGCTTATAGATTTATCCAGTCGTTTCGACCTCTAAAATTCTTGAAATCGAATCATTGCACTGAAATTAACTTCATTTATATTTCGATCAATTTCTACACAAACTCAAGTTCGAAAAAATCGCAGAAATTCGATTACACAAAGAAATTGTTTCGATACAGAAAGAGGAAAAACTCGCCGAGAAAAGAGGAAAATAATCCGTGTAATGGATAGGATCAATGAGGCTATAAGTACGGTAGTATTGCAGTCAATTAGATTGATTACTGTATCAACAATAGCGATGGTAATGTTTGTTTTCCAGAAAAATAGTCGGAATACCTTGCTTAGTTGTATTTTTGTCATTAAGTATTTCATATTATCAAAATCATCAATGCATAGGCGTAAAGTTACTTCCTTACCTTATCACTTTTGATTGTTCCATATTTCAGTTTTATTTGCGCTTTGAAAGATGAAATTTTAGAAGTGGAATTAATTGGGCATTACAACTAAATTCAATTTCCAAACTGCAAGCTTTATTCTTTAGGACGAGTTTTTTTAAAGAGGCAGGAAAGTGAGTAGTATCAAATTTGTAAACTATATAAGCATCGTTAGTTCATTTACTACTTCAAATCACCAATCAGTCATTTACTAGGCCCATATTCCAGTATTTTGATTTTAGCGAGATAAAATTGTCGTCATTTTTATTTAATCTGTAATTTTTGTGAATTTTATCCTTATTGACGTTAAATAACAGATTTAACATTACATCTGAACAATTTTATTCCTAATTTTACGGTTCATCATTTTTCTTTGATAATTATGTTAAACTTATGTTAAGCAGACCTTTTTCACGTGCCCGACGTAAATCATATGTTGTTGTTTTTTTAACCTCATGTAAAAATATTACCTTCTAAGAGTTCGTTAGAAATTTTTTAGGACAAAACGTGATGGGAACCAGTTTTCTGATCATTTTGTTTTTATTACATAGTAAGTTCTCTCAATTAGAACGATGAATATTTTTCTAAAGTTTCATAGACGTTAACGGTATTGTAATATCACTAATTGTACATTGCTAATGATATTTGAAGGAATTTTTTTTGATTAATTATGCTGCCATTTTTTTTTCACTAAATATTTCACTACTCTAACAATAATGTAAGTTAAAGTGATGAACAAATATTCTTGCTGTTATCATATCAATTACTTAGTTTATTTTCCTATTCAGTACAATATTATTCTTTCCTTTTCACCACAATATTATTCCTTGCTAAAGCAAATGCACAATTAACAGCTAATAATAACATTGCAGGCGCCAACCTAAGTTCCATATCTCTCATAAAGTTATGTTGTTAAAGTAAGTGAGTGTTACAATACGTGGCACATTAAGTCTGATTTAAGCGTCAAATTTCTCAGTAAAAGCTTATTTTAAATTTCAGTCATTGAACAACAATGATAAAACCGGAAACTTTGATGCAAAGAAGACAAGCTCAACAAGGAAATCAAGCTCAACAAGTTCCACAGAATCCTTCAAGCTCGTTTCGTCGATTTGGCGCTGGTTTAATAGATTTCTTTCTAAACACGAGCTTGGTAGGACCTTGTCATATCCATACTATTATTATTCGTACTACAGTTCTCAGAGATCGTACCAATACTACAATCCCTATTATTATTATAATTATTAGTTTGGTTAATTGCTTATTTTTTCTATATACCATTCATTGTATTACTGTGCAGATTCTGAATCTTCAAAAGATGAAACTAGTAAGCTATAGAATGTAGATTGACTAAATTTAACAAATATTCGAACATTTATGCAATACAAGTTATTGTCGTAAGAATCTCTCGCAACTCTAACCTTTATAATATCAAAACAACAATAAGTTATGAATTAAAAAAATAAAATGAAAAAAGATAAAAATATTAGTAATTGGACGATTTTGATGCCAATTACTTATAATGTTTTGATAATTAAATGATTAAAAAGCAAAAATTTTCCTGAATTATCACATGCTGAGTTTTTATTTTCAAAAAAATGTACTTTGTGAAATTTAAATTTAATATACGGAACAGAAATAGGATTTCGAAATTATATGCCAATTACACATAAGATTATGGGTGGTTATTCTTGGTTATAGATGCTATTGCTAAAAAGATGCTATTGCTAAAATTTTACTTGACATAGATTGTTGATGTTCATTTCCGTTTTCTTCATTTGAAATTAGTTTAATTAGTAAAATCAGTAAATAAAAAAATAAGGTCATTATAAGGACCGTTAGAAGAATGCACTGATTGTAGAAAATTGGTTACTATAATTGAAATAAAGGGAAAAAAAGGCCATTTAAAAGTGAATGAAATTTGGAAAAAAAATAGTTAACGAAAAAAAAGTTTCGCAATGTCATTCATGTTGGCTGAAATACAACGTACAAATAATTGTATCGCGGAAGGAAGTCAACAGTGATTGTTCTTTGTTTTCCTCTTTGTCATAACGCAGTTGAAATCAGAGTGAATTGATTAAAGTCAGAATGAACAGAAGTTATTGATGACATTATTCCGTTTAACATTTATATGTTAACAACCTTCAGTCATTGAATATCATGCAAATATGGCTGACTTTTGGCTCATTCTTAGTTCAGTAAATCAGGCCTAAATTTTTTCATCAATAAATTGATAAGCAGTTTTCTGTATCATTTAGACTTCACGGTTAATGCTTTGGTTTGATCAATGGTACCTTGGAATTTCAAAAATTCTGATTGCCATCAAAAAATATCAAAGGAAAAAGTACAAATGACGCGGAAAAAAACAAGTTTGCAATGGTTGTGACTTTATTGTACTTTTTTTTGTTGTAAGAAATTGTTAATTTTTAAAGAACCGTTTTGTTCCGACATTTTATTTCTTCCTTCATATCAAACTTGCCACTGTTAAGGAAAAATCAAATGCTACGTTCAACGATTATTATTGCTTTCTGTACTATTATGTACAACTATATTTATGTTCATTCATCCGGTCATTAACATCTTTTTCCGGAAAACAAAAAATTGATTTCAAATCTTGCTTAATCCGTATCAATACAAGTTATGTCTGCTTGAATACTAAAACGATTATTTATGAACAATTTTTTATTGGACTTAAAATTAATTAATGCCTTGTTGTGCTATCATGTCTCAATTCCCTCATTTGTATAAGTTTCAAAATTATAAAATCAAATAATCATATTGACACCAATCGATTCTACATTTCAGTAAATCTCCATGTGCTATAGCTTATTTATGTTGACATAATTCTCTTCAATTGAAATTAATTTAATTGGTTGAATCAATAAATGAAAAAGGTCATTGGAAGGAGGGATGTGTTGACAGTGGAAAACTGATTATCATAATTGAATGTTTGCCATAATTAATTTGATCATTTATTAGTTAGTAATTTTCATACGTTGATATAGGAATCAAAAACCGAAAACAGCGATATATTGCTGTAAGTTAATTAGGCAAATACAGTTGATAAAATATGAGCAATGATTTCATAGCATATTAATCGTAATAGATTTGACAAGAACTGATAATGGCTAAAATCTTTTCTTTGTAATATCTATATCAGGCCAATCGAAAACCGATTATACTTGCGTGTACATATTTTTGCATTAATCAATCCTTCTACTTCATATAATCTACATCATCAGATTGTTGCAGTTTTTAGAATTTCAGAGTAGATAGAAGTTTTTGAAGATGTTATTCAAAAAAAAGAGAACTCTATATGTTCCAAAGCCAAATTCAATTATAGAAATGGTATATCTTGTTTGGAAGTTGAAAAGTTAAAATTCGAAGACTTGTGTGCAAATTAAATCGTATTTATGAAATTGAATCAATTCTCAATTTTAATATAAAGTGATTTTTTCAGAAAAAAAGAACTTTGTTTAGCAAATATTTTCGTAGTTTATATTGATGCCAAAATGTATCCGTGCGATAAAATCTAAGGAACTATTTATCAGTAGTTAGCAAGTAAAGAAATTTTCATTGATATAACCTGCTATAATGATGAATCCACGCAAGATATTTTCATATCTCTCTAAATCGTTTTTTTCTGTCGATTGTCGATGGATCGTTTGTCTTTCATCCTCAATTTCAGCAGCAAAGGCTTTCTTATATTTCATTGATGTGATCGTGAATGCACTTTCCATCTATCAAATACCTAATGTAATTATGTATTTGAAAGTCATAGTGTGTTATTGGGATTTCCCAATTTTGTCCTTTCTTCTAGAATAATGCAATATTTGCTTTATATGAATTAAATACATTTTTGGCATTTTCATTCCTATTTCAAACAAATCGATATTGCTATATTCTACCATCATTGATATTTATTTGATGTTCTCATTAGTTGTTTCTGAATTTTGTATGAGTTTTGAAATAGGACAGTTTGTTTTATGTTTTTGACAATTGTAAGCAAATATATTTTAGGTATATCAGATGAGTTTCATATTGTGCCTTTGTAAAAATGTTTTTCTGAAAGACGAAATATATGGAAATTAAATTATTACAGAATCAAATTAGATAATTAAGTTTTTGGGTTAACTTTCTCGAGAGTTCTTATATAAATTTCTCTCAATAAGAATGTAAATCTTATCGAAATAGCACCAAGTGTACATTACCAATTATATTTGCAGGAGTTTTGCATGGCTAATTATGCTCCCATTTGTGTCACTAAATATTTCACTGCTCTAACAATAATGTGAGTTAAAGTGATAAACTTTTTGTGGTTATCAATTCAGTAATTTGGTTTACTTGTCTGTTAATGCCTTCTTTCTCTTTCAGAACAATACTATCAATTACTGAAACGAATGCACAGTTACTCAATTTCAATGTATTATCGTTCAATAATAATAGGGCAGGCGATAATGTAAGTTTTATATTTCTTATAAAGTAATGTGTAATGTGTCACATACTGCATGACTGTCTTACTGTAGTAAAACTATGGTATGATACAGTACCCCTGTATGATTATTTATTAACAATTCTAATAAAAATTTGTTTTGAATTTCAGTCGTTGAACAATAATGGCAACGCAGGGGCAGGAGGAAATAGATTTGATCAAGTAGCATCTCAAACTCAACGGAATCCTTTTACTTCATGGCCTTCTGCAGTCGGTGCTGGTTTGGGTTTACTTACAGGCTTGTTGGGTGGAAGCTTCACATATACTTATAATCCATACTACAGTGGATACGCAAGTTTATATAGACCGACGTATTATTACTATAGTCGCTATCCTTACTTTTATTATTATCGTGGTTAACTGTTGTATCAATGTATAGATTAAAAAATTCTAAAAAAATGTACAATATTTTGTTTGGTACTATATTCTACAGTGTCAAATAAATTATACATAAATTTCGAAAATATGTCATAAAACGTAAGTTATTGCTACGAAAGCTTTCCACAGGTGTTAGTTTTTAATTTATTTGATTACTGTACTTAAAGCAATTAATAATTTATTGATTGAAGAAAGAATGAAAGAATATATTAGTAATTGACTGATTCAAATGCCAATCACTCATTGAATGATTGAAATATGTAATTAAACGAAAATATTTCTAAAATTGCTGAAAATATTTTTTTTAAATTCTAAAATTTTGTCTTCACCTGTACTATCGGTATTGGCTCTGCTATTATCTGTGTTATTATCCTCACAGCTACAATCACTATTTTATATTATTGTGCAGATCTAAGATTTTCAAAAAAGTTTTGTTTATTATAACTGAAAACTAGCAAGCTTGATAGAAAAAAAATTGATCGTACAGTAAATAAATTTTGTGAATACATGAAAACTCTATGTTATCGTCATGTACTGCAGCAAAAGTCATGTATACTTTATTATATGTTTATGGTCAAAACTAATCAATTATAGATTTAAAAAAAAGTGGATGAATATATTAGTAACTGATTAATTTTGATACCAAGTATTCGTGAATAATTAAAATTGGTAATTAAATTTTTTCTTCAAATGTCATATCTCCAAATTTACACTTCCAGAATACATTACATGAAGTGTTGTTTTAAATTTAAATGTATAAGACAGCACATGTTAATAGCAGAATAAGATTTCGAAATTGTGTGCTAACTACAAGATGCTAATGTTCATCATCCTAAAATATCACTTTCTCTAATTAAAACTCTATTAGTAATTTAGTCAATGAATGAAAAAAAGATTATGAAAAAGACGAACAAAGAAATTTATTGATTTGAGAGATATTTGCTTGTAAAAGAGAATGAAAATTCGAGAATGAAAAAAAAGCAATTGGCAAGGAAAAAATTACACAACCTCATTTTATGTTGACTTTGTTTGAAATATGACTATAAGTAATTGTACCGTCAAAGGAAGTCGATAACTTATTTCTCTATCCTTAACTTTTTCGGTGCACAGTTAGAAACAAAATCAACAAAATCAAAGAAGCAGAATCGAAATTTCTAATAACAACATTTCTTCAAGAAATGCTACAAAAAACTAAGAGTTTTTCTTCCGGTTCCATCTCTATTTCAGTAATTTCACAAATCAGCAAACAGCCTTACTAATTATCAAGATTTCACGGTTAGAACTTCGATCAATGTACTTTCCTATTTCTAAACTCTGGTTACTATTTAAAATCTTAATTAAAATAAAAAGTACAGTTGATGTAAAGGAAAAGGAACAGGTTTATCACACTTTGAACTTTTTTCCAAAAAATAGTTTTTAAAGGATTGTTTTCTTCCACTTCTTTATTTCTACTTTCACATCAAACATGCACCGCTGTTAAGTAAACGTAAAATAAGCCGAATAATTATAACATTTTTCTGATATGCACTTCATCGAAACAATTGCTTGATTAGCATATATTTTGGACCATTTGTGTCCCTCTATCCGTTCATTCTGTTTATCACTTTCGGGAAAGCAAAAGTTCGATTTCATGATTTTAAGAATCTCTTTGATCCATCTTTTAAATGCGAGTGCTTGCTTGAGAATTGAAACGATAATTTTTGAATATTTCTCTGTTGAATTTGACTACTTTTCTGTTTTTTGACTAATTTGACTAATTTGACTACCAAATACTTTTCTGTTTTATCACGTCTTATTGTAATACTTTTTCTTGTTTACAACAGAGTTGTTTAAGTTCATCGGATTCTTAAAATACAATAATCATTTGAAACCAATCAATTTTACATTTCTTGAATACAGAGAGAGAAGAGATGGAAATATGGCTGACTCAGAGAAAAAGAAATCATTCTTGTGTTGGTTGATTACGATCGTCATGCATACAGTAGCGGAGATTATTGTAGACAGTAGTTTAACTACTGTACCGATAAGTATGACATTATGGTTATTTCATGCATCCACAATGGACTGATTGCTTTCCGGAAAGAGAATCATGATAGTTTTGTTTGCTTGTCCAATCTACCTTAGCAGTTCTTTTGCTGAGTATTTCATGCCATCAAGTCATCAATATATACACACAGATTAGTCATACAATTACTTTCCCATGTTGTTGCTTCAAACTGTTCGGTATCCTGTTTTCTTGATACCTTGAAATTGAAGTTTCAGTAGCAAAACTTTTTTGTGGAAAGGATGAAAAATGTGTTGTTGTCAATTTTGTCATTTGTTTTTGATAATAATCAATTTGATTCTAAGAAAAAAAATACAATTACTTTCCCATGTTGTTGCTTCAAACTGTTTGGTATCCTGTTTTCTTGATACCTTGAAATTGAAGTTTCAGTAGCAAAACTTTTTTGTGGAAAAGATGAAAAATGTGTTGCTGTCAATTTTGTCATTTGTTTTTGATAATAATGAATTTGATTCTAAGTGACGTTAAATAATAAATTTCACGTAACTTCTGAGTAACTTTATTCTGAATTTTATTTTTTCTGGTAATTAGTTAAAGACATTATTGTTAGCAAACGTAAGCAAGTATGTTTCATAAACTCAAATGAAATTCATGTTGTTTATTTAAAATGAATTAAAATGCATTTTTTACATTGGGACGAAATATAAAGAAGTTAGCTTTTCGTCTAAGTTTATCGCGAATTTCATAAAATAAGTTCCCCTCAATTAAAATGGAATGTTTTCATATAAGTGAGCTTCATTTTAATAGCATCAATTGTTCAGAACAAATTTAACACTTCCATTGTTATTCATATTTGCAGGAATTTTGGATTGATTGTTATGCTACTATTCATTATCACTAAATATTTCGCCGCTCTAACAATAATGTAAGTTGAATTGATAAACTTTTTGTTGCTATCATATCAGTTATTTAGTTTATTTACTGATTAATATTTTCTTCTCTTTCAGAACAATACTATCTATTGCAAAAACGAATGGACAAGGTCTTTCACTCCTGCAATCGTTCAATAATAATATTGTAGGTGCCAACGTAAGTGTCATATTTTGAAGAAGTAATGCTTAATGGATCACATACTGCAATGATACATTAAACATTAATACTTTTATGCTTCAAACATTCTCAGTAAAATCTTACAAATTTCAGTCATTGAGTAATAATGCTAACGCAGGACAGGGCCCTGCAGCTGCTCCACAAGCTCCACAAGCTCAACAGAATGCTCCTGCCGCGCGGAATTCTGCAATTGGTGCAGGCGTGGGTTTTCTTGTAGGAAGTTTGTTTGGTGCCTCCCTTCCATCTCCTGTTTATTATGGTGGATTTTACAGACCTTATTACTATCCTTATTATTATTATTATTATCCTTATTATTATTACCGTGGTTAACTGTTTTGTTTTCCTCAAATTCTTTTGTATCACTATGTGAACTTTAAATTTTCGAAAATGATGCAAAATTTTTTTGATATTGTGGTTTACAAATAAAAAACAGCAAATTATTAAGTAGACTTGTGTACTGAAAAAAATTCTCGAAATATGTCAAACATCTCGTGCGGCATAAATTTTTGCCATCACGATGTTACATGATTCGATCACAGTTTTTAATAGCTGAACTGATGGATTGAAACGAGACGCCGAGAATAAGTGAATAAAAAATGAAAAACAAAAGTGTCGCTAAATGAATGATTACAAGAATATATTATTATATTACAAAAAGGAACGATTGTCATAAAAGGATAAAGTTGTGTAACTTTTTTCATGTTGATATCAGTTGAATACGATAAAAAGTAATTGTATAAGAGAAGTAATCGATAGTTTATCTTTCTAACTTTCACTTTTGTATGTAGTTGGAATCAAAATCAACTGAAGTTACTGATAATATTATTTCCTTACTTTTTCAGTAATCACTCAAATGCTGACCTTTAATCAGTGAAAAATAAAGTATAGCAGTACTGCTGACTTAACTCCAATCTTACTTCAATGATGAAATCTAAATCAAATGAGTAACTTTCTTAATCATTAAATTAAAGCTTTATTATTTCAGGATTCTTATCTCCATCAAAAATTAAAATTAAAGAAAAAAATACAAATGAAGTGAAAAAACAAGTTTATTGTTCGTAACCTTATTTTCAAATTAAATACCTTGTTTTTAAAGAACCGTTTTCTTCCATCTCTTTACTCCTTTCTTCACATCAATTATTCCGTTATCACAGAAACGTAAAATACGCTAAACAATTGCTACATTTTCTTCGGTATGCACTTCATTGCAATAATTATTTGATCATTTACGGTCATTTACGATCATTTACATGTTTGTCATCTACTCGTTCTTTTTATATCATTTCGTAAAGCAAAATTCGATTTCATGATTTTAACAATCTGTTTAATCCGTTACTAAATGTAAGGAATTTTTGAATCGTTTATTTCCATTTCACATGAACAGCAAACAATCAATATTTCCTAAATTCTCCATTGATCTGATATTTTCATTAATTTTTTATGAATTTTACATAACTTTTTAAGTAGTACAGTTTGTTTTATGTTCTGATGATTTCTGTCATTTGTCTGTATTTATCGCTCTGACCACTGTAATTCTATTCAATTACAAATGGAAATACCATTACAAAGAATAGAAGAATTTTTGTCCGAATACAATCAGTGATATTACACGTAGGTAATATAACAAGCTTAAAAGCTTACCAACAAAGTTGGTAAGCTTTTATCTGTTTGTCCGTAATGAATCCACGTGTTTGTTTTCCGAAAAACATTTTGATTTCTCAATTTATCTTAACGATCTCTTTGTTGTTCAGAATATTTTGTGCTACCAAAATTTGAAGAATACACAGAATTAGTTACACAATTCTTTCTCATCTTATTACTTTCAACTATTTTGTATCCGGTTTTTTTGACGTTTTAAAATATAGGGTTTTAACCAATTGAAGAATTGTATCCGAATTTGACGAAAGTATAAACTTCACTTTCCTTTAGAACCAGTTTTTATAGACAATAATAATGTTAAATTTAGAACTGGATAAGCTTTGTAAATTCATTTTTTGCATCAAAACCATCAGTCGGCCGTTATAAGGCCTATCATCTTGAATTCACTTTCTTCATTCAACACTTTAATTTTAGCAAAACCGAGAAAATGAAATTGTTGAAATTGTTCGCATTTTTATTTCATAACTCATTTTTGTTATTATTTTATTATTATTAGTGATTATCATTTTTGTTATTAGTGAATTTGATTGAAGTGATAGATTTTACAGATTTTTTTAGCAATTTATTCTAAATTTTATGGCTAATCATTTTTATTGATAATAAAGCTGAAAAGAATATTTTCGTAAGCAAATGTGCTTTATATATCTTAAATGAATTCCATTTTGTTTACTAAATATTTATAAAATATCATCTTCTGATAGTTTTCAGCAAATCAAAATGTAAGGATAACAAATTTTAGTTAAAATTTTTACAGAATGAATCAGTTTTAATTTAAAATTTTTTTACACAGTGATACCGTAAGAGTACAATGAATATTTTTCTAACAGTTTCGTGTGTGTTTTATTGTAATAATACCAACTGTACATTGTCAATAATATTTGCAGGAATTTTGGATTGATTATTATGCCATCATTCATTATCACTAAATGTTTGATTGCTTTAACAATAATGTAAGTTAAAATATTATTACCGTATTATTTACTTTACTTATCCGTTAATGCTTTTTTTTTCTTTCAGTACAATATTATCAATTACTGAAACGGATGCACAACAACAACAACAACAACAGCAACGACCAGGTTTTGGAGTTTTTGGATCGTTCAACAACAACATCGCAGGCAGCAACGTAAGTTTCATACTTCATTATGCGATACAGTAGTTATGTTATCTGTATGTGCTGCAATTGTTGTGCTACAGTATGTGGCACATTGAACATTAACGCTCATTTAAACCTTCAGCATTCCGAATAAAAGCCTATTTTAAATTTCAGTCGTTGAACAATAATGCAAACCTAGGAGGTGGTGGTGGAGGTGCTGGAGCTGCTGGAGGTGCTGGAGCTGCTGGAGGTGCTGGAGCTGCTGGAGGTCCACCAAATCCATTTCAAGCTATACTAAATGCACTTCAACCTCAACAAAATCAACAGAATCCTTTTGCCACGATTTCTGGTTTTGATTCTGGTCTGCAAGGTTTTCTTCTAGGCAGCGCACTTGGTAGAGGCTTATCATCTCCTTATCCATACGGTTATTATCCATATTACAGTTGGTACGCGCCATATTATTATCGCTATCCTTATTATTATAATTACTATTATCGTGGTTAATTGTTTTATGTTGTGTAAATCTCTTTATATCATTATATAAACTTGAAATTTTAAAAAATTATGCAAAATTTTTTTGATATTCTCAGAAATAAATCAGCAAGATTGTGAGTCTGAAATTTTGGAACTATGTCGAATATTGTTGTCGCCAAAGTCTTGTGTGATTCTGCTATAGTATGTAATAACTAAACTAGTCGATTATTTATAGGTTAAAAGTAGAATTGCTTTTTAACCATAATCGACTAGTTTAGAATTGCTTTTTTTTGGAAAGAAGGCGTTGAAAAAAGTGAATATATCAGCCATCAATAAATGAAAAAAAATATCATTAAACACTTTTTGATGAATGCATTAATTTTGTGAGTGTTCGGTTTCTAAAAACTAATTGAAAAAGAAAAAAACAATTTCAAGGTTAATGAAATTTGAAAAAAAAGAACGAATAGAACGAAAAAATTGCACAATTTTTTTTTGTACTTTGACGTCAGTTGAAATATGGCGTATAAATAATTGAACTGTGAAAAGTAATAACTGATGATTTGTCCCCCTATTCTTCATTTTCTACCACACAGTCAGAATGAGAAACGACTAACGTTACTGATTCACGTTCTCAACAATCACTCGAGTGTTAATTGATTACTAAGACACTACGCAGAGTGACACTAAAAGCTTTTTTTTTTTTTTGGGTAAAAAATCAAACAACAATTTTTGTTAATTATCAAGACCTTACAGTCCTGATCAATGCGTCATGCTATTTCAAAATTCTGACTGCCATTTAAAGTCATAATTTTTTTTTTTTTAATAATACATTAAAGATGATGTGGAAAAATAAAAACAAGTTTATCATACTCTGAACTTTTTTTTTCAATTTTTCCAGAAAAAATAGTTTTTAAAGAATTGTTTTCGTCCATTTCTTTATTTCTTGTTTCATAGCAAATGTGTGCTATTATTGGGAAAACAGAAAATAAGCTGAACAACTGGAACATTTTCTGCGATATGCAACTTCATCGCAGTAATTATTTGAACAACGTAATTCTTGAACTAATTGTGTTTCCGTCCAACTACCCATTTTTTTCCGCTTTAATTTGTCACCAAATGCGAGTTACGTATATTTGAAGAGAAGTGAATAAAATTTTCTCATCTTTCATTTCCATTTCAAATGCATAAAGAATCAACAATTGCTTTATTAGCGTTATTGTTTTGACATTTCCATTAATTGTTTATGAATTTTACATGAGCTTTAAAATAGTACGACTTGTTTTATAGTAACTGGCAACAATTAGGCCGTACCGTACGCCGCCATTTACTACTTTACTTTTTCCCTTTCCTTTCTAACAAATATTTTCAACGAAAATCCACGATAATCGACGAACTTATACGCATCACAGATCCAAGTATCGAAATTTCATTAATCATTTGTAAATTTTATATTAATTGATAAGTTATGAACAGACTAATAAATTTCAGTATTTGAAAAAGTTGGCAATGATTGTTGTGAATGGGTTTGTTTGATTTGATTTGGTATGGAAGAGTTTTGTTTTTGTGTGGCACGATCGAATTTGTTGATGAAGGTTTTTTCTTTAGGAGAGGTTTTCTTTGGATCGACGTTATTGGATTAGTTGTATTTCCTTGAGACGAGAGTTGATCGTTCTATTAGATCAGGATCCGATGAATTAGGCTTGGATTCGTTATTTGGGTCTTGGTTTTAAATTTTTATTTTTCAGTTTTCCAGACACTTCTAGAAATTGTTGACTTTGATATAGTGAGAAATTACGTTAGCTGATGTAGTTTATTGGGTTTGGTAGATATTTAGTTGGCGATAATATTGATAACGCTAAAGTTGACTACGGACAATGCTACCAGAGGTAATAATGAAATTTAGCAGTTGATTTGATGATAATTGCAAGAATAAGCGTACGGATGTTGAAATGAATGAAAACGGGAGCGAGTTATATTTTATTCTTTATATACCCCTATTGGGCGGTATCATGATAAGAGATAATAAGCTTAATAGATGATCCCGGGGTTATACAATGTCATGTTGCAGAAGGAAGAAGCGATGAGGACAAAGAGAGTTGTATGATTACTTGTGAGCTACATTTGTTTCACATAAAAGACAAGGAACAATTAAAGAACAAAGACGTTATAAAGCAATCTCTTAATGAATTATAGCAGCACAAAGGGGTCAAATGACAAGACATTAAATTTATCATTGGCAAATTGTGAAATGCTGCTTCCTCAATTTAACTGTCAGAATAAATTTATATATTTTACTTTTACTAAGAAAAAATTTCTCATGAATTTAATTTGATAATTTTGTATTATGGATTAATTTCGAATTTCCTACATTCCCGACTAAAAGAATTAATAACGTGAGGAGAAAGAATATGAAAGCTATTCTTTTTGGTTTATCAATTAGAGGAGTTTGTATTAAATTCATGAAAAATGGTGATAATTTCCTTTTTTCTTGTAGCACTCCGAGTTCGCCTCGCTACTGGTTCTTCAATTTCCTCGATTGAAGCTCGTTGTTTTTTTTTGTAAACGCTGACTCAAAGATTGTCCTTTTCTTGCCCGACTTCTACTGTTTAGAGAAGAACCTATAGGTCAATTGAGAAGTTTCTGACTTGGTAGTTTTATCAGAGCATTTCATATTTCTTTATCTCGACCTATATTGAGTTTTTCTATTCGGGCAAGTTTCCATTTACCCTGAAAAGTATTTTGTTCATTGACCAGGATGACTTCTTTAGCGGGAGTCCTTTTTTCTACACTTCTTGGTTGACCTGTGTTCCGTTTCTGTACATTCTCTTAAACTAACTAAATATTCGTTCTTCCACATTTCCAAAAACTGTTGAGTACTTTGTTTGTATTTGACTAAAAAATTGAGTTTTTCATGGGAATTTAGCTGGTAAGGAACCTACCCGTTTCGGTCGCACTCCTCATTGATGGGTATTGCCAGAGCAATGTTGGGATATGATCGTAGGATTATGGAATTGTCGAAGTTTACATAGGTTAGTGGACGGATATTAAGTATACCTTCTATTTCCATTATCAATGTTACCATGTCCCTCTCCGTTATTAGCTTTCTGCCTAAACTAACTGAAACTAACCGGCATTGTCACTTAGTATTAGTTCGGGATAACTGCATCGAGCTACGAATCTTTTGAGAACATGCAGACAGAAAGTTTTGAGCAGATAGATCGTCTACTAATTCAAGATGTACCGCTCTGGTAGTAAAACAGGTGAATAAGGCGATTCATCTTCTTGCTGTTGCTGTTATTTCGAGAGATATGAGGCCTAGAGAGTCTAGACCAACTCGAGCGAATATTCTTGATTTTGTTACTCGAGCTTCCGGATAACTAGGTATCAGAAGGAGCTTGAATGGTTTCGCTCTCTATCATTTACAACCCATACATTTGTTTAATACCTTTTTAACTTCTGTTCTGCCGTTTGATATCCAGAAACTGGTTCTCATTTTCGCAGTCGTATGCGTAATTCCACCGTGGTGTATATCCTTCATATCCCCATGTAGTTTTTTGTGAGATGATACGATTACGTTTGGGAAGGGCTCGTTTTAGATCCGCGTTTCTTAGTCGACTGTTAAATCTCCATAATTCATTGTCTCATATAACTTCCATTTCTTTATTTCCTCCGACATTGGGCCTGTCTAAATAATACCATTGCCGCTTGATGATGATCATATTGAGTGAGTTCGTCTCTAATTTCTTTTTCTGTAATTGGTGTTTTTTTTTTTCGGTAATTCGTTTTTAAGAGGTTTTCCCTTGAATATTAAGGTTATGAATTTTAATATCCACGCTGTCATTCTCACCAATCTTGACCATTTGCTGAATCATTCTGCGTCAATTATTTTAAAGGTCTCGATGGTGGTGACCGGTACTACGATCGTTTCATCCATCATACCTTCTGATTCATTGTCCTCCTCGTTATAGTTATATTCCCATGTTGTCCGTTCTGATTCTTCTTTTATGAGCCAGTTAGGTCTTCTCCGCCATAATTCATGTTCTCTTTGATGGGAGTTATTCCTCCGGTGGCCACATTAGCTGGGTCATTTTCACCCGGAATATAGCGAAATGAGAACTTGGAGTGAGAACTACTAACCTTTGACTCTATTTTGTATGAATCTGGGCAGTAGACGAGAGTGATTTTGTATCCGGTGCCCTTTGCTTCTAATTTCATTTGGGTTTTTTAACGAATTGTGCGGACCGTATTCCTATAAGTATGGTTAGTAGTTCTAATCTGAAAATAGTCATAATTTTTGAAATGAGCAATTTGAGATTTAGCAAATATCAAGTGAGCTTCCGTTCCTTGTGTTACGTATGCAACAGCTGCAAATGCGACTGATGAAGCATCGGTGAAGACATGAATTGTTGTTTTTTTCAATGGGATAACTGTAACACGTGGTAAATCCTTCACATGATTTGGCCATGCGCTTATAAGTTCTTCCATGCTGTATTGTCTTCATCGTTTAATAATTAGTCCCATTCCATTCTCTTTTTTTCATAGATTTTGAATAAATAGTTTGATAGGTATCATACTTGGTGTTAGGAATCCTAATGAATCGTATTGTGAAGTCATGAATTGAAAGATTGTTCTTTTTCTTGGTTCTTGTTTTTCCAGAGTCTCAAGGTTATTTTTATGCGATCAATATTAGGATTTCAATTGATATCAAGAATTTTCTTAGACTGGTTGATTTTCTGCTCGATCTTGTTGGGAAATAATTTGACTGAATTCCTTATTGTTTGAAAGAAAATCTCTAATATTCATTGAAGCGTCTTGAAATATGTTTTTCATTTCCTTATATTTTAAGAATGCTTCGTTGGTTTTTCATAGCCGCTATTATTACGTTATCATTGTAAAGATTCTTCCTGATTTCGAGAGCAAGTTCGCTCTTTTTGTTTTCCAAATGATAATTTAAAGTGGCTGATAGTAAGAAGGGCAAGGAATGGAACTCGTTTGAATCGATAACATTCGATGTTGTCTTCCGTTATTTGTCCTGCGATGTCCTTTAACCACAGGGATCGAGTACGATTTCGTTGGAAGTAATTCAAATTGTAAAAATGCCTTTTCAATATCGGCTACTATCACGTTTTTCATCATTCGGAAACGGAGCAATATTCCTGCTAGGAGATTTATCGGCCCGCGGTATAAGACATCATTCAAATTCTTCATCCCCTTGTGTGGGATGATGCATCATGTGCAATTCTGAATTTAGTTTTGTCTTATTGGTGTTAAGATTTCATGATGAGGTAAGTAATGGATAACACCATTGTGGTCCATTTTTGAACGTATTTTTCCGATGATATTGGACTGTAATTGTTCTTGGATCGTTTCGACGTACTTGTGTAACAGTTTTTCATTGAGTTGAAGTTTCCTGATCAATGATTTTAGATAGCCGAAACACAGTCCAAAATTGTCCGTTAGTTTGTCCTTTGATTCCTTCCATGGCCAGCCTATTTGATATCTTCTTTTGAATTTGGGGATAGTTTCTTTGAACTCTTCCAATACTTCTTGTTTATCATCATGAAGATTGGGTTTTCTTGTATGCTTATGAACTCTAATTACCAGAATTTGATCTATATCTGGGAATTTAGTATTGATAGGCATGGCTATTTTCTCGTTCTTGACATGTCTTCCGACACGTTTGTGCTTGTATCTGTGCTCTAATATACATGGTAGGGTATTGCTTCATCTGATACCGATAGTTAGTTAATAATGATTTCAAAAAATTTATATAAGTATTCGCTTCCTGCTATCATTGGGCCAACTGCTATCAAGGTGAATGAATCCTGATTTAATGGTTTGTGTTTTCTTCATTTGGATGAAGTTGAAGAAATTGTCAATTCCGATGAGTAAGTCGGATTGTCTCCAATCTTCGTCTACCTCGTCTAGTGGAAATTGGTTCGATATAATTGTTATATCGTATTGACTTATTATAACTATCTGCATTGAGTTTGTAAGATGGTTTACAACATTAAGCCTTATGGGTACAATATCGTCTTCTATAGTTTTTATCCAATCAATACGCTTGCCATAGTGGATGGTTTTGGATTTTTGCCATCGAATGAAACGATTCTCATCCTGTCATATCCAATTTCTTACAGTTTTAGTCGATTGGCAATTCTTTTGGAGATGTAACTTAGTTGAGTGTCACTATCAAACAAATCTGTTATTTTGTGCATTATTAGGTCAATTAATTCAATCTTTCTACAAGGAAGCAGAAATTTACATTACCCCACGTTCCACCTTAATATGTTTATTGCCTTGATGGAATCCGGTTTATTGTTTGTTGATTCCACTGGTTATGTGCAATCCTTGTATTTAAAACTCGACAGAGCGCGGTGTTGTGAAGACTATTACAATGAAAGCCTATACGCTTTCTTCTGTTACATTTGATAGTAGCATTAGCATGTACAGTTTGCAAGAAATTTTGGCAAGCGTTTTCTTTCTTCAGCCTTTCTAGTCGCTGTTTTACAGTGGGATAAATTTGGCATTCGTTATCCCAGTGATCGTTGTTACAAAAGGAACGTGGTCTCCTTGTTTTACTCTCCCTGATTTACTCGCTATGGATGTCATTTGCCTTTGGTGTAATTATGGCTAAAACTGAATTCTCATCTGGATTATACCGTAAGTAAGATTTTGACTTATTTTAGTCGGGATTTGCTCCTTAAGATTGGTATTCAGAGATTGGCTTCTAGACACTTCTTCACTTCTTAATACGAGTTCTCAAGGAACTGCCTGAGTTTATTGATTTTTGTTCCTTTTGTTGATAAATTTTATCTAAATTCCAAGCCGGCAATCTGCTTTCAATTACGATCTCGATACTTGACTGTTGCAAGTTTTCGACCGTAGCTTTTAGTTGTCAGAGTATTCTTTCCATTTGCTTCGACTGTTACTTTCCATTCTTTATCATTTTTATTGGTGGAATGTAACTCGTTACAGAGCGATTTTTTAATCGTGTGCAATTTTTAACCAGAATCTTTCTTATAACGTTATAATTTTCTGGTTTATCTCGTAACCCTTATGGCTTATAGCGCGTCTCCTTTTAGACATGCTATCAAGTAGTTTAGTTTTTATATATTTGGAATATTTTGTAGATACCATAAGGAGTTACAATGCATCAGAAATACTCCAGAACTCTCTCCATAATTTTGGGTTATCACCAAATGTGGGCAGTGATAATTGAAGCAAATTCACTGTTGAGTGATTTGCCATTTGAGTTGTCTCTTGTTGATGGATTAGTCCATTTTTCTTATTTTCTTGGCTTAAACGTTCGAGTGCGAACTCAGAGTCATTTTTGTACATTTTTAAAATTACTATAACTTCTTTTCCCTCACTTATTAATTTTAAAATACTCCTTTGGTCGTCGAATATTTGAGCGTAATCATCTTCTTCTCGTTTTCTTGATAGGGTCGAGATGTGTTGAATGTGCTGTTTCCATCGATGTTGGCGTTTTCGAGTGTGCTCACATGTAGTTCTTCGATAATTCTTTTTCTGACCTCATGTTGTCGAATTTCTCAACGGTGTCAGATCTATTCTTTTGACTTCGAAAAGATTTTCTATTTTTCTATTGTCGTTGTACTCCTTTGATTGTTATGGCATACATCCCGCTCGTGACATCAAATTAAATTGTTGTGAATGGGTTTGTTTGATTTGATTTGGTTTGGAAGAGTTTTGTTTTTGTGTGGCACGATCGAATTTATTGATGAAGGTTTTTTCTTTAGGAGAGGTTTTCTTTGGATCGACGTTATTGGATTAGTTGTATTTCCTTGAGACGAGAGTTGATCGTTCTATTAGATTACGATCGGATGAATTGGGCTTGGATTTGTTATTCGGGTCTTGGCCAGAATGTTCAAACACTGTTGACTTTGATATAGTGAGAAATTACGTTAGCTGATGTAGTTTATTGGGTTTGGTAGATATTTAGTTGGCGATAATATTGATAACGCTAAAGTTGACTACGGACAATGCTACCAGAGGTAATAATGAAATTTAAAAAAATTGTGAAATGCAATTTCCTCAGATTAACTGCCAGAATAAATTTATATATTTTACTAAGGAAGAATTTAATTTGATAACTTTGTATTGTGGATTAATTTCGGATTTCCAAAATGATCTTTTTTTTCTGAGACTATATAATTTATCTGTTGAACAATTAATCCGATAGTTGCGGTCTTTTTCCATTTATTTAACAGGAACAAATCAGCTGTATGACATTACAATTATTAATTAATCTTTTACGAATTTGATATTACGCTGATCTCCTGAATAAATGATTTAGAACTAAAGGACGTCATTGAAATGATAAGAGTGACTTTTGATGAAATGATAAAGTAGAGTGTGATCATTTAACAAGCAGAGACATTTGATAAAAATTTGATTTTAAAGATCTCAATTTTTTGAATGCTGGCAGACATAAGTAATAGTAGTAGCCAAGCTATTTAAATATTATTTAATATTATCATAAAAAGATAATTGATGATGTCTCTGATCGAAATATTGCGATACATCTAAGAAGCAAAAGGAAATGAAATTAATTTAACTAATTATTAGGTTAATGGAAAGAAGACAAGATAGTGCTTATCTCTTTGGTCATTATTTCTTTGTAATCTGCTCATTTACACAAAGAGAAGAGAAATGGACGAAATGGAAATGCGGTGACGAATAGAAGAGGAATAATCCTTAACGTTATGTATACGATAGCGTACTGACAAATTACGGTAAATTGGCTTAACCATTATACCCCTAAGCACATCATCATAATCTCTTTTATTTATGCATGTAAGGGGGACATTTGTTTTGCAAAAGATGGAATATATTTGCTGTGCTTGCTTAATTACCGTTGTCACATTTATGTCATTAAGTATTTCAAACCAATAAAATCGACCATTCGCATATACAGAACTAGTCATACTATTATTTCCTTACCTTGTTGCTTTCAGCTGTTTTGTATTCGGTTTTTTGATGCTCTGGGAGATGATATTTCAGGAAAAAAACTAGCTTTATAATTGTAGCCAAATGCAACAAAAATCCAAATTTTGTTCCTTTTCAGGATCACTTTTTCTTGCAAAAAGACAAGCAGTGTAATATCATATTTGTGAATTAAATAATAAACCACCAATTAATGATTAAATGGGTTCAGTTTCTTAACTGGAAGACCTCCTGAATCGGCTTTTCTCATCCAATAGTTGAATATTTTTTAACGGTGAAACCGGTCAAATGATTATTCATTATAATCATTCATTATTGCCAATGATGAATCCCATCTTTACTGAATTAAATAATAAATTTTACGTAACTTCTGATTAACTCAATTTTGAATTTCGTTTCTTACCATTCTTTATAATTGAACTGGATATACAAGTTTAATCTATTTTCATACTGTCTTTTAAATATATGCGAAAATGTTTCTTTTGAAGAACAAAATGTAGAGAAATCAAATTTTTAGTTAAATTTATTGTTAACATTCACATAATAATTACCCTCAATAAGAATATAAAGAACATTTTGTAACTGTGTCGTATGCGTAACTCTCATTGTAATAGTATCAACTGTACTTTGCTAACCATATTTGCAGGAATTTTAAATTGATTATTATGCAATCATTCATTATCATCAAATATATGATTGTTCTAGCGATAATGTAAGTTAAAATGATAAACTTTTTGTTGCTGTCATATCAGTCATTTAGTTTACCTGTCCATCAATGTTTTCCTCTTTTTCAGAACAATACTATTAATTGGTGAAACGAATGCACAATTTGGTTTTAATTCGTTCAATAGAAATATTGCAGGCGATAACGTAAGTTTTTATGAAGTTATATTTGATGTGCTGCAATATGCAACACATTAAGCCTTATTTAAACGCCATCTGTATTTAAGCATCAATTTTCTCGGTAAAAGCTTGTTTTAAATTTCAGTCGTTGAACAATAACTTGAATTTAAATCCAAGACCCAGTCCTGGTCAACCTCAACCGAACCAACCCGCTCAACCTCAACCGAATCAACCTGGTCAATCTCAACAGAGTCCTTTTCTTCCTGCACTCGGCGGTTTCATTCTAGGCACAGCATTTGGTAGAAGCTTGAGATATCCTTACGGTTATTATCCGTACTATTATTATCCGTATTATTATCCATATTATTATCGTGGTTAACTGTTTTACATTATTTCAAAATACTTTTGCTTTATTGTGCTGATTTAAGATTTGCGAGAATTACGCAAAATTTTGTTTTCTACAAATAAAGGTTAAGAAGCAATTAAATGGATAGCAAAATTAATAAATTTTGGAATGCATCAAAAGGTTATGTTTTCGTTATGCTGCTGTAAGAAAACTATGCGCGTCTGCATTATGTATTTCTATTAACCCAAAACTAGTGAAAAACTCGTAGATTAAAAAAGTAATTGACTAATTTAATATCAGTTATTTGTAGAATGAGTGGAATATTCTAGCAATTGTGATAATTCAACAGTGATTAAGTCACAGTTTTCTTAAAGTGTCGTGTCTTCAAGTTCGCATTTCCAGAATATATAGTAAAATACTTCTTGAAATGTAAGTGGGTAAAAAGCGTATATTAATTGGAAAATAAGATTTCGAAATTATGTGCTAATTGTATGTGACATCATGGTCAGTCACCTTTCTTTACTTTATGCAATCAAGATGTTATTGCGCAAATCCTATTGAGATTCATTGTAGTAAAAAATCATTTTTTTCTAGTTAAATTGATTTAATTAGTAATTTAACTAGTAAATGAAAAAAAAGATCATTAAAAGAATTATTAAAAATGTATATCAGCACATTCTTATTGTAGAAAATTGATCACTATGATTGGGGTAAATAAAAATCTTTAAAGGAAAGAACAAATATTCGGCGAGAAAAAGTTGCACAATTTTTTACAAGTTGACGTCAGTTGAAATACAAAGTTTACAAATAATTGTACTGTGAAAAGCAATGGTAAATGGTTTGTCACTCTATTTTCGCACAATTAGAATTAGAATCAGCTGAAGTTATCCATAATATTATTCTTCAAAGTTCCTCAAAAGTCACACAAGTGTTAACCTAAAACGCGTAAAATGTGACCAAGAACTTTTTTCTGGCTACATCCTTAGTTCATTAGTAGGTCCTAAATCAAACAACAGCTTTCCTAATCATTAAGACATCACGGTCAGAGTTCTATCCAGTGTACCTTGTTATTTGAAAATTCTAATTGTCATTTGAAGTCTTGAAGAAAGAAATACTGATGACGTGGAAGAGAAGAAACAAGTTGGAACTTTTTTCAAAAAAAAAAAATAATTGGTTTTAAACAACAATTCTCTTCCATTTCTTTATTTCTACTTTCACATCAAATGTGCACCGTCACTGGGAAAACATAAAATAAGCTGAATAATTGCAACATTTTCTGCGCTTGTTTGCAGTAATTATTTGAATAACATATATTCTTCATTTGTTTGTGTGTTCGCCCATCCGCCTATTTTTTTATGTCTTTTCAGCAAGTGAAAGTTCGACTTCATCATTTTAAGAATCTGTTTAATCTGTCAGTTACGTTCGTTTGAAAAATGTAATTATTGCTTCGTGGGAATCTTTCATTTCTTCTTTACATCCTTCATTTCCACTTCAGATGCACAAAGAGTCAATAATTGCTTCAATTCCTTTATTGCCGTTATTGTTTTGACATTCTCATTAAATATTCAGAAGTAAGTTATAATAGTGGCCATTATATTCATGAAAAACGGATAATTGAAGATCCGTTTGATCGAAATATTAAATAGGTCTAACAAGAAAAAGAAATGAAATCAATTTAATTATTATGATAAGAGAAGGAAGCCAAAATGGTGACATCCCTTCGGCTGATTGTATTCTACTCAATTACATAAAGAGAAGAGAAAATGGAAGAAATGGAGATACAGTAATGAACGGAAGAGAAACAATCTTTAGACGTTATATATACGGTAATACTAGTGGATTATGGTCAACAAGCTTACCATTATATCGACAAGCATACGATACTTGTTTCATGTTTCATGTATGCACAGTTTTCTAGAAAGATAGTTGGAATATCTTTGCTCTGCTTGCTCAGTTTACCTTAGCCGCATCTTTGTCATTATTTGTCATTACCAAAATCAGCCATTCGCTTGCACAAAATAATTATATAATTACTGTTTCATATTCTGTTTCTTTTGTTACCTTCGAAGATAATATTTCAGATCAAAACCAATTTGGAGATTGTAGCCGAATTCAGAGAAAACATAAAATTTTAATTTCCTTATGGATCAATTTTCTTTCTTGCAAAAAGGGAAGGAAGTGTGGCATTACCTTATGGCATTACAACATTAGTCAGTCGTTTAATAAACCCATCTCACTAAATTGTCTCTTTCTTTCAGTACTTTGATTTTAGCCAATGGTTAAATCAAAAAAAAAAATGAAATTGCCACTCATTTTAGTTCTGTCAGCCATTTTTTTTAGTGTAGAATTTATTCCTCAATTATGTTGAATGATAAATAAATAGAATTTGAATAACTTGAAAGAAATTTCACTCTGAATTCTATGTTTCATTTTTTTCCGACAACTGAAAGGAAATACTCTAAAAAAAATAATCAAGTCTAGGAAGAAATTAATGTGAAAAAAATTTCACATATTTTAATCACATTAATTTATCTTTTTTCATATTATTTCCATATGTAAAAATATCATTTTTTGATGTACAAAGCGTAACGAATCAATTTTTGATTAAATTTATAGCGGATTTTCTATAACTTCCTTATGTTAGAATATAATGAATATTTTTCAAAACAGTTCCGTAGACGTGAACCTTATTATATTAACAGCAATCATGCTACGTTGCCAATCATAATTGCAGAAATTTGGATTGATTATTATGCTGCTATTCGTTGTCAGAAAATATTTGAATGTTGTATCAATAATGTAAGTTAATGTGATAAATTGGCATTTTTTTTTGCTATCATATCACTCATTAGTTTATTTGTCTATTAATATCTTCCTTCTCTTTCAGCACAATGTTATTAATTACTGGAAAGAATGCACAATTTCTGTCTTTGACTTTAGGATCATTCAATAATAATATGGCGGGCCAAGGAGTGAGTTTCATAAGATTATGTTTATTTGATTATATACTGTAGCGCATTTACAATATATGTTACATTAGCTGTGCTCTAGTATATTAAGCATTAGCGTTGATTTAAGCTGATTTAAGCGTCAACTTTCTCAGTAAAATCTTATTTTAAATTTCAGTCGTTGAATAATAATGCGAATATTCTACCAGGACCCACTCCTGGTAGAAGTGGAGGTGCTGCAACAACAACAACTCAACGAACTACACAGAATCCTTTTGCTGCAATTCCTGGACTTAGCGCTGGCATACAAGGTTTCATTCTAGGCAGCGCACTTGGTACAAGCTTAAGATATCCTTCTGGTTTTTATCCGTATTTCGGATACTATTATCCGTCTTTCGGATACTATTATCCCTATTTTTATTATCGTGGTTAACTGCTCTTTTTTTTTTTTTGAAATACAGCTTACAAACAAATAATATTATTCAAAGATGAACAAGTTATAGATTAAAAAAAATAAATGGAATATTAGTAATTGAATAATTTTGATGTCAAATATTTGTAGAATGATTGAAATATTTTAGTAATTAGTGGTGGCAATTGAATAATCATTAAGTTACAGTTTTCTTGAAATGTCGTATCTCTAAGTTTGTATTTCCAGAATATGTTCAGTAAAATGCTCCTTGAAATCTAAATGTATAAAACAGCGCATAAGTTAATTGCAAAATAAGATTTTGAAATTGTGTGCCAACTTCATGCAATCAAGATACTATTGCTCAGATTCTATTCGGTACAACTTGTTGAGATTAACTGCCTTAAAATATCACTTTTTCTAATTAAATCAATGAATAAAAAGAAGATCATTAAATGTATGATTGAAAATGTATGACCAGTATATTCTTATTGTAGAAAATTGATTACATTGGAAAAAGCCATCTCAAGGTAAATAAAAATTCTTTAAAAAACAAGTATTCGACGAAAAAAAATTGCACAATTTTTTTCACGTGTACATTAGTTGAAATACAACTTACAAATAATTGTACTGTGGAAAGTAATAATAGATAATTTGTTATCGTATTCTTTATTTTTCCAGCTAGAATCAAAGTCAATTGAAATTATTGATAACATTATTTTCTCACGTCTTCAACGACCACACAAGTGTCATCTTTAATTATTAAAACATCACGTAAAGACTAATCAACAGCTTTTCTTTCAGCTCTATCCTTAGTTCAGTAATAAAACTTAAAGCAAACAGCAGTTTTCCTAATTACCAAGAAGTTGAAGTCTTTACCAGTTGCCTCACTATTTCAAAATTCTGTTTACCATTTAAGGTCTTAAATGAAGAAAAAAATACAGATGATGTGGAAGAGAAGGAACAAGTTTATCGTAAATGGAACTTTTTTCTAAAAAAATAATTAGTTTTAAACAACAGTTTTCTTTTATCTCTTTATTTCTTCTTGAAATGTACGCCACATTGAGGAAACGTTAAATAGCTGAACACTGAACATTTCCGAGATATACGCTTTATCAGAACAATTGCTTGATTAGCATGTATTTTGCAACCGTTTGTATCCGTCCGTCTGTCCATTTACTTATCTGTTTCCAGGAAGCAAAAGTACCACTTCATGATTTTAAGAATCTGTTTAATCCTTCTCTAAATACAAGTTACGTTTGTCCGAGGAACGATAATTTCTGGATAATCTTTGCTGAATTTTAAAACTAATTCGCTTCAAATAGTTCGCTGTTTTACTATGTTTCATTGCGACAATTTTTTCTGTTTACAAAACTGTTATCCTATCGAATTCTTGAAATACAACAGTCCTTGTAGCAAACAATTTTACATTTCCATTCATCTCGCTATAGCATTTCACTCATTTAAAAAACGTATCGTCATCCAGTACTTCATACTATCAAAATCGTTAGCAAATACATACAGTCATACAATAATTTCAGTCGTTCCGTCATCGATTTTATTGATGCCTTAACAAAATAACATTTCAAACATAGAACTAATTGGAGAATCTTAACTGAACCCGGCAAAAACACAAATTTTACTTTCCTTTAGGACCAGTTTTTTTGTAAAGAGGCAGGGAAATTTAGTGTTATCAGTTTTTTAGATTACATAAATGATTGACTCTCTTCATCCATTTCAGCCAACGCTAAAATTGACGAAATAAACTTCTCCTCATAGTTAGTCGCTTTCATTAGTAACGAATTTGATTCTCACTCATGTTGAGTGGTAGACTTTGCATAACTAATAAGTAACTTTATTCTAAATCTTATGGCTCATCATTTTTGATAGTGAAGCTAAACAGATTATTTTCGGCAAATATAGGATGTGTTTCATACATCTCAAATGAATTTCATTTCGCTCATTAAGCATTTATGAAATATCATCCATCGCGTATTCATTGAAAATTCAAAATATAAAAAAAAAATATTATCGTTAATTTTCACAGAATGAATTTTTCAAAACAAGAATACAACAAATATTTTACCAACAGTTTCGTAGACGTGGATCGTACTATGATAATACCAACTATATATTGTTAATCATATTTGCAGGATTGTTTATTATGCTGTTCATTATCACTAAATATTTGATTGCTCTAACAATAATGTAAGTTAAAATAGAAAACTTCTTGTTGTCATCATGTCATTCATTTAGTTTATCTGCTTATTAACATTTTTTTTTCTTTCAGAACAATATTGTCAGTTGCTGAAACAAATGCACAGTTACTCAATTTAAATATATTATCGTTCAATAATAATAGGGCGGGCAACAATGTAAGTTTCGTATCTTTTATTACTCAATGTATCACATACTGTAGTGGTACTACTGCAGTACAAGTATAGTAATGCAACTACAGTGACACATCTTTGTAGGATTATTGTTCATTTAAGCATCAACATTCCCAGTAAAAACTTATTTTGCAGTCGTTGAACGGTAATGCTAATGCAGGGGCAGGCTTCAGTGTTGGTCAAGGACCTAGGCCTCAAAGTCAACCATTTGGTTCCTGGTATTCTGTACTTAATACCAGTCTGAATTTATTTAGTAGTTTTGCAAATGAATTTGGATATCCTTATTCATTTGGCAATTATCCGTACTATTTTTTGAATAATAGAGTAAGTAATTGGTACGGTGGTATTTCACCGTATCGTGGTTTCATACCATATTACAATCCTTATTATTACTATTATTATCGTGGTTAATTGTTTTTTCTTTGAACAGTTTTACATTATTATAGAGCTCAAATTTCTAGAAATTAAGCAAAATTTTGTCTGTTGTTGCGTCATCGAAGAAAAATATTAAATCTATTCATTGTGAATTAAATAAATTTTACAACTACATCAAAAATTCGTACGGCATTATCATCATAAAAGTTTTCTATTTCTCGTCATAGTTTGCAATATCCAAACTATTTGTTAAATTACGGACTGAAGAAAAAATGAATGGATATGTTATTAATTGATTAATTTTTATACAAATTACTTACTGAATAATTGAAATTTCCTGATAATTAAGTAATTAAACAACAAAGTTTTTGGAAGTATTTTATTTCTAAGTTTGTACTTTCAAAATACATTCCATGAAATGTTCCATAAAATCGAGGCCTATAGAACAATAGATTTTCATAGCCAAAAAGATTTTAAAATTGTGCTCCATTACATATGCAGTTAATATGGTATTGTTTATACCCTATTTGGTATGATTTTTGATGTTCTCATTTCAAGGTACCATTTAATTTAAATTGATTTAGTTGATCTTTAATCATCAAATGAAAAAAAGGTCGTTAGAAGAGTTAGAGGAATGTACTGATTGTATTAGTGTTTGCTTGTGTAAAAATAACTGAATTAAAGAGAAGCCAGTTCAAGGTGAATGAAAATTAGAAAAGGAAAGAACGAACATTAGTGATCTTATTTCACTTTGAATTCAGCATTATAATAACTATATTGTAAAAAGTAATCGATGGCTTATTCGCCCTATGCGGCTGGAATTAAAATCAATTTAAATATGCTTCGGTTATTGAGACATATTTAACAATAGATTAATAAATTTTGCTATTACTTAAAATACACATTATTGCAATATTTACAGTCAAAAAAGAACTTGTGTTATGTTTAGTGAATACCAATTCAAATTGGAATGTTTATAAAAAGTTTTATACATAAATTTCACAAAATGTCCCTCTTCTTTTTATTTTGTTAACTTTGTCTTATGCTTCACTTCAAAGTTTTCACTTTACCACTATGAAAGAAAATGTTCAAATAGCTGAATGTGTACTGCACAGCGATCGAAATTGCGAAAGGAAACTGTTCACATTACACAGTGAAATAACGATTGATTAAATCACAGAATGATACTGTAAACAGTTGAAAAAACAAACGAATTAAAATAAAATGGCAGGTGATGAAATTTGATTGAAAGAGAACAAAAATTAATTGCACCCATTTGTGATACTCAATTATGGTTAATTAAAACTTTTACAGAACGAAATTCATTCAACAAGAAAATCGCTCCGACAGAAATTTATAACTTCCATTACTCATTTAATAAAGTCCTAAATTATATAATCATCAAAAAATTTCGTATTATAAAGTCAAGAAGAATAAACCATTCTATCAAACAATAAAACTTTAGTTAAATTCGACTGCATAAAGCTTCCCCGCTCTGCTAAAATTATCCCGAAAACAAAATCTACAACATATTTTAATGTTACGAGCTGGTGCCTACAATTATAATTAAAGATGCACAACCGACAAAAGAAATGTAAGAAAAATTTCTCGAAGTCAGAGGAGTGAATTTAACACAATTGGATGAATTGCTGATGACCTTGGCATTCCCGAAACCACTAGTATAAATTGGCTACAATACATTCAATAAGTCCCGACACCGACAAAAAAGAAAAAAATGTGCTTAAATCATTAACAACGAAAAAGATGTTTGAAATTTAATAAATGAAAGAAAAAAACCATCACAACTTTAACGTACATAGGAATGATTGTGAGTATTTTAACGCGTAAACCAAAATTATATAAAGGATGAGAAAGCTTACCAATGAGGTATATTACCCAACTGTGAGTTTGCCTCAATTATCATGACCTGTATTTAGTGGTGATCCGAAATTATGGAGAAAATTCTGGAGTGCTTTTAATGTAGATCTACAAAATATTCCTGATATTCAAAATCTGAATCATTCAATTGATGTCTCAAACGGGATGCCATTAGACACTGCAACCCAGAAATCTTTGTTGTAGGGAAAGTTCTCACTGAAAATTTTGGACAGTCATATACAATTGAAAAATCATTCTATATCGAGTTACATTCCATTAAGAAAAATTATCGAGACGTCGAAGCTTTTGGAAGAATATTTCGACAACTAAAAATCATACGCGGAAATTAAGAACAATCAATGAGAACAAGGAATATGGTCAGTCAATAAACTGAGATTATTTTTTGGGAAAATCTGTTTAAAAAAATGAAAAAAATGCTGAGGAAGGAGCTGCCGCTTTAGCCATAACCGCATCATAAGCAAATAAAATGAGTATGTACTCGAAAAAAACTAAAGCAAGAAACTTGAATTGTTCGAAATAAAGATCATTGGGATAATGAATGCCACATTGATCCTATTTTTGACCAAAAAATGAACAATTGAAGAGAAATAATGCCTGCTTAAGCTGTCATTAATAAGAACATATGAAGCCAACAATAAAAGGAAATGTTTCCATTATAAAGGCTTCCATAATACTGCACGATGGCACATCAAATGCAAGAATTGCACGCAGTCTGATAGAACCAATCAAAGAAAAAACAATTCGATAATGGTAGTCAATCCAATAATAAATCAATGGAACCGACGAGGCAAGGAAAATTTTTTTTTTATTTCTTTATAAAGGGATTGAATCATTTTGGATAAGCCGGAATTACAAAAGAAGTTGTAATGCTATTTGTAGTGGTGCGCAAATAAGTTACATATTGAAAAAATTACCAAATCGATTAAAATTGGAAAAAACTGAAAGAATGAAAATATTATTTGGTGGTAGGTATCGAAAAACTTTCTTTGATTGTTGAATATCATATGACAATTATAATGACAAAGATTCCCACTTCAGTATTGAGAATGAAATAATTGTTTTTAAATTTGGATAGGAATTGATTGAGTCGCAGCTCCTACAATCGCGTAGCAGAAGAATGGCTGATAATGAGATTGATCTCTGAACAACAAGCTACCACCTATAAATACTCCTTTCGTTGGGCGGTACTCTGTGAGTACTTGATGTAATGGATGTATGAACAAAGGATCATATAACCTCAACTAATGATCGTATAGTTCTTTGAAGGTGAAGCCGATTGTACAAAGAGAGTTGTTTCAAATTAATCATTTACAGTGAATTGAGATACTGAATAAAGCATATCCTATTATTTTATAGAAAATATTTGATACAAAAAAATTTTTATATCGAATTCAAACTATAACGACTTTGATTATACAAATATATGGTAAATTTTCAGTTTTTTGATACTCTTAAAATCATTGCTTGTTGCCAAGGTATGAATTGGGACCAAAAACTATGAAATCAGATATTACACGACAGCAAAACTATTGCTATCGATTACTTAAAAGTCAACTATAACAGTAAATTGTGCATTTGTCCTCATTCTGAATGATGTGCTATTAAATATGAGCTAATATTTCGTTAGAATTATGAAACTTGTCTATATAACCTTGTAAGTATAACCTCTTCCAGCTATTATTAGGCCGATCATTGAATTGATTAAGGAGAATCCTCAATCCATTGTTTGAGCTTTAGAAAATTGAATGAATTTAAAGAAATAATCAACTCTAATAAGTAGATCAGGTTGTTCCCACCATCCTATCTTACGTTTTAGTGAAAATCGACTAGAAATAAATGACGTTGGAACACTAATACTCCAGAGTTAGATCAATTTTAGAAATTAGAATTCACAGGAATATAACAATAGTTTAATTGGTAGAAATATTGCTTCCATGAAGAATGTTGTAGTAGTAGATATTGAAAGCGCCTTTTTAAATTTGGAATTATTCCCAACCGAAACTATACTCGATTCCTTTAATTAAAAGATATTTGAGGACAGATAGCGAAAGACAATATAAAATATTATCGGTTTTAACGAGTTCTATTTGAAGTAACTTAACCATGATTTTAAAAAATTACGGAAGTAAACTCGCTCTTGAAATCAGAAAAAAACTGACAAACTTATACTATCAACTAAGAAAACCAAAGAAGCTCTTATAAAATATATAGAAATGAAAGTCTTTTTTAATGCGCTTTAATAAAAATAAAAGAATTCCTCTTAAATGATAAAGAATTCAATATCAAGATTTCTGAACGAGGTCAAGCAGAAATGAATCAGAGCAAAAAGATTCTTTGATATTAATCTGGAATACCAATATGACCTTATTTAATAACTTTAAAAAGTTAAAATGATCAAGAATCAACCAAGACAAATTTGCTGTTCAGTTCGTGGCTTCACAATATGATTCTTTAGGATTTTTAATTTTAAACATAAAAATATCGGTTAATTTATTTCTTCAAAGCCTTTGGAAAAAAAAGTAAATTGGTATCAACACCAATAAGCGACGAAAGTAAGGAGCTATAGGAAGATTTTATGTGCTTATGATCAACATACATTAAAGAACTGCCATATGTTGTAATTAGTCACAACCAATAAAAAATTCATTTTGAAAATTCGTTTCCATCGACTTTTCCATAATACGCGTATATGCTACTGCGCTATTCAAGGAAACGAAGCTTTCCTGATTTTTGCTAAATTTCGAATCAGCTCCATTAAAGGATGACCATTCGGAGATTGGAATGTGCCATACTCATAGGAACACGGTCTGTTCAGTCTTTTATAAAACAATTCAAATTAGAAAATATAAAGATCATTTGATAGACAGATTCCAGATGCGCACTGCACTGAATACAGAATTCTTCCCGTCAATATCATGAATAAAAAGATTTTTCTTTGATTCGGGAAAGCAAATTGATATTCCACGATAACTATAACTGAATAAGTTTGTAGATTGAAAACATTGACAACGAACTATGTTCAAAAATGAATAATCCAATTTCTGGTGATTGATTGATAG